ATAGCCTTTCCTGTAGTTTGAATCCAATATTCCATTCTACTTTCTGGTCCAGCAGAAAAGAACTCTGTTCCAATATGACATTGCTTCAAGTAAACATGGCTATTATGTCACCTCTTAACCTCCTTTTCTCCAGGCTGAACATACTGGTTTCCTAAATCATTCCTCACAGGACACAGTTTCCAGACAGTTTTGGTTGCTCTCCTATGTTTAGATACCAGCTCATCAAGACATTGATAAAATTGCTCTGAACAAATCTTGCCAAGAAAACCCTATGATTAGGAAACTCTAAGTTGTCATCCTGGATTCGCAGCTGACAATGGAAGCTCAGGTCGCTGCTGCCAGCAAACAGGCCTTTTTCCATCTACGACAAGTGAAGCAACTGGCACCCTACCTATCTGACGAGGCTCTGGCAACTGTCATCCATGCCACGGTCACGTCTAGGCTGGACTATTGCAATGCCGTGTATGTTGGCCTTCCGATGTCTATGACCCGAAAGCTCCGTATTGTTCAGAATGCGGCAGCCAGGTTACTCACAAGAACGCCCATGAAATGCCATATAACACCAGTGCTGCAACATTTACATTGGCTTCCAACTGAGTACCGTGGCCTGTATAAGATGTTAGTTCTGACCTTTAAAATTCTTTATGGCCAGGGTCCATCGTACCTTAGGGACGGCCTCTCCTTCTCCCATCATCGGAGGTCGCAAGGACCAGCCCAACGTGACTTACTCTATATACCAGGTCCTAGAGAAGTGCACTTGGAAAGTACCAGACGCAGGGCTTTTTCTATTTCTGCCCCTGCCTTAGGGAATTCCTTGCCGTCCTATATGAGAGCCATGCGTGACTTAGGGCCTTTTACTCTAGCACTTAAGACCTGGCTTTTTACTAGAGCATTCGATCTCTGCTAATTTTTAATTTCTGTATGTATGTATTTTATCTTTTACAATTTAGCTGTAAATTGCCTAGAGCATTCTCGAATGGAGGGCGATTAATAAGTAATTAAATATGATATGACTTGAAGACACATAAAGCAAGAACTATGATAAGACTAATCACATGGGACATCACTGAAAACTTTCTTTCCTCCTTTTTAAGGAACCATATTAAACAGCAGAAGAGACAGTCAGTGGAAATATTTATTTCTCCAAAGGTACATCCCAAGCTTCTTATGTCAATTATTTTGAGGGATTTGTGATGCATTTCTACTTTTGATCAGTTACATGGTTCACTGCTCCATTATCATGGTATTTGATACTGCATAACACATTCTCCTTGATGTCTTACATAGTAGCACTTTGCCTAGAAACAATTCTACTTCTATATGAAAAGAGCAAAGTAGGTGAGGGAGATTGCTACCATCAGATTGAGTTTTTTCCTTCCTTTTAGCATGCTACTGGGATGGAGTCTACTGGAGCCCAACAGGAAACAGGGCTAATTCCCACAGGGCTCCATTGGGTTCAGTGCTGGCTCCATCCTGGCAGCTTGCTCAAAGAAAGAAAAGAGGCTACAGGTGACTACTCGTATCTTCATTGAAGAAGCTGGGGTATGTGCACTAGGAAGCCAGGGACAGCTGGGAAACAACATGGGGTGGCAACCCACAACTAACCATGCCAATGAGATGAAATGGGCACTGCCCCACAGTGCTACCCACTACACCATGATTTTCTCCTGCTGTCCCTCAGCTTCTGGACCTCCATTTGATGATGTCCCTAATCAAATCTTCAAATGACCAGCCAAAATAGCAGAACCCAGTCACTGAAACTATCATTTGAGATTAAAGTGGTAGCTGGCATTTGCAATATTAATTTACGAGGGGTATTTTTTAAGTAAGGTCCGTTTTGTTGTAGACACTAGTAGTTTGCATGCATACCACAACGAACACGTGTGTCATGTACCGGCATGCCTCAGGAACAACTGTGCTCAGTTTCCGCTCTGTAGCTGACCTGTTCAGTTCTGTTCTGTGCTTTAAAAATGTTTAAGACTATCAACTCACCCACCGCATGTGAGGTTCGCTCAGTGATACGGTTTTTGTCAGCAAGGAACCTGCCTGCTGCAGAAATTTATCGACAGATTTGTGAAGTGTACACAATACTGTTATGAGTGAAAGCAAAATGTATAAGTGGGTACGACAATTCAAAGATGGCCGTGACAACGTCCATGATGAGGACCGCTGCAGTTGCCCTTCTTTGATTACAGGTGATTTGGTTATTGGAGCAGGTGGCAAGTTTTTATGAAGAGGGTATTTTAACATTGGTTCAGAGGTATGATAAGTGTTTGAACAAACTTGGCAACTATGTCGAAAAATAGAGTGAAGTATGTACTTTCTGAAAATAAATTTACTTTTTTGAAATAAACATTCGCTGGTTCAAACGGACTTTACATAAAAAATACCCCTCGTATATACACATTTATGCTCTTTCTCACTTGTACATAAATAGGATGAAGGCATAAAATTCCAACACTAGTGGGCCATTGGAATTTTTCAATGTTGAGCCATTAAAACTTTTCCTTTATACATGCTGGAGCTTTTGAGTGCTCTGATTTCATTCTGAAATTCATTGTATCCACCTTAAAAGGAACCTTGGAAATTTGAGGTTCAGAGTAACCTCCAATATAAGGCAAATTATTGAAGTTGAAACACAAATCCATACTGGCAATACATGCAGGAATTTTTGGATTGCAGCAATGGAATTCAGCCCAAGATGTTATAATAGAACAGGAAACAAATAACCAGGAAACAATTATTTAGGATGAAAAACTCAGTTATAGAAATCCAGTCTATCTATAGAATTTATAATGTGAACAAAACTATTGTTGCTGTGTACCATTTCAGACTTTAGGTGAGGTCCTGCATATCTGAATGCTCCCTGCAGGGGATAAATAATCTACATACCAAAAACTAGTACAGCAGGGGAAAGGCAAGGTTAAATCACTTTGTAGTTTTTGATGTGCAAGGATATTGTTTTGTTGATGTTCTTGTTGCTCTTCTTTGCAGAAAGGGCATTAATAGTGAATAAAGTAAGTCTGCTGATAGATTGAAGCGATGCTCTCTGATAACTGCTATTCCATGATCTGTATACTAGGTCTTGGCAGGGAAATTAACACTTCTCACAATCCCTTTGGAATAAAGGAGGCTCTGAATCTGTTAAAGAGTCTTTAATGTGTAACAAAGCAGTATTGTGTGGAATGAAAAGTGATGGTGCCAAAAGCTATTCTGTTCTAGGTTCTCCTGCCTCTTCTTGTAATATTGACACAGAATGTTATATCATCTGACCATGTTAATCCCTCCCCATGAGAGGAATTCTATCATTTGGAATGGCATAATGATATTGCCAAGGAAAAAAAGGAAGGGATTAATGTAGTTCATGTTTTAATGGAAATTTATGTAAAGCGCACTTCCAATGCTGATTGGTGAAGCGAAACTGTCGTGCTTTGTTATTTGCACTCTTCTCATTTTGTTATACAGTTCTTCAACCCAAAGGAGAAAAAAAAAAGGTGGGGGAATGGCTCAAATATGGATTTATTAAGGGAAAGGATGGGTAAATAGTAGGCTTGGTTGATCTGGTTTCTAAAATCGGAATGAATTTGTATTTAAATGACTTTTAAAACAATTTCGAGCCATGCTGGAATAGCGTGAGGAGTAATAACGAATTGAAACAATTTGCCCGTTTTTCGGAATTATTTTTGTATGTCTGGTCAAAGTTTACAATCTCGCAGTTTCCCTTGCCTCCCTGGTGACAAGCCGTGATGCGGAAGGGTGAGGTGGGTGTGGCCACGCCCAGCTCTTCCTGAAGGCCACACCCCCAGTGGCCATCAAAAAGAGCTGGGCGTATCCACGCCCACCTCATTCCCTTGCCCTTTGCAGTCACACAGAGAAGGGAAACTGCATGATTTCAAAAGTAATCTTGCAGTTTGCCTTCTCTGTGTGACTGCAAAGGGTGATGGATAGCAGGGGAATGAGGTGGGCATGGCTACGCCCAGGTGACTGCAAAGGGCCAATGAATGGCAGAGGGAGGAGGTGGGCATGGCCACGCCCAGCTCATCTTGACGGCCACTGGGGGAAACCACATGGCCGCTTGTCACCAGGGAGACCAGGGAAACTGCGAGATTTTAAATTAATGGGTGAGGGGCACCTTCCATTAACGAAGTAAACAAAGCTATTGAGATTTTTGCTATTTCTGATCTTTTTTTCAAGAAAATTTGAGAAATAATTTTAAAATCGAAACGCCAGCGCCCCCTCTATACGAAACGAGTTTAGAACCATTTTTCTTGATCAACCAAGCCTAATAGATAGCAATTAGAAGGAAAATTTGTGTGAGAAGCAACATTCACTATAAAAAGTATATTTGCAGAAATCCATATAAAAATAGCATGTGAATTTCTTTGTCAATGGGTTTTTTTTTTTTAAAAAAATGGTCTGATTCATGTCAAAACACTAATTGAAACAGAAATTCATAGATTTGTCCATCATAAAGGCTTAAATGTTACAGGAGGAAAAGAAGAACACAACAGCAGATATTGACCCTGAATGTTATATCTGGTCCAATATGGGGAGCCGCCGGTGGTGCAATGGGTTAAACCCTTGTGCTGGTAGGATTGAAGACCAACAGGTCAGAGGTCTGAATCTGGAGAGAGTGTAGATGAGCTCCCTTTGTCAGCTTCACCTCCTCATGTTGAGGACATGAGAGAAGCCTCCCACAAGTTATAAATATCAAAACATCCAGGCGTCCTGTGCAACATCCTTGCAGATGGCCAGTTCTCCCACACCAGAAGCGGTTTGCAGTTTCTCAAATTGCTCCTGACATGAAAAAATAATCTGGTCCAATTGATAGCAGAAAATAGAAAAAAGGACCAAACTAGAAGTGATGCTTTAGCATGCCATTCGGAACTATGCTCTCAACACTGCTGACCTTATTATACAATAATTCTGAAAACAAAACAAAACCAACAGCACCCTTCCCATTCTAAGCATTCATAAATGATCAGACCTTTTCATCAGGATGAAGCTTCATTGGTCTTTTATTCAGTTAGCTTCAGACCTATCTCATGTCTTGGGATTTTTCATATGCAACAGAGACACACAGATAAGCCTTTCTAAAAACAAAAACGTGGAGGGAAACCCACATTTTGCTTAAATGTGTTGCCTACAACTTGCAGCCACTTCATATACTTTCATGTAGCAACCCACTCCAGTCTGCTTTCAAAGACCTTCCACCTTAGTTGTTTGAGGGAATATGTGTTGAAACAGATACTTGGTGCGTACTTCTCCCCACGCTCTGAGGCAGCTCCAGCGGGCGTATACACGGTGTCCAGTATATGGAACTGGCGATAGAGCTCATCAGCTTTTCATGAAGGGGAGCTGAGTTCCAGATTTTGCTTGTGTCTCCCAAGTACCTGATTGGTATATATGCATTTTGAAATGGGGTCAGCATGTCACCCTGTGCTTGTGGGATCAGATCTGTAGATTCGGGCCTCAACATGAAGAAGGAAACAATACAAGAAATTGGTCAAAACAGGATGTACTCACAACACAATGTAGGGTGAATATTCCTTTCTGCAGCAACAAAAGTAGTCCTGTATTCTTAACTTATTATATGCTCAAATTTAGTGGCATTTCAAGCTTTTTCTGAGGCTACCTTCTGTTAAAATTTCTGGGAAAACTGTAACTATGAGCACATTACAGAATCCAGGCCACAGAAGTGAACAGAATGGAGTGTTTTTTTGTTTTTCACCAGGAAATAAACATTTTTCTCTGCTTCCAATGTAGAAAATTAGAACCCAAAAACGCGGCATACTAGTTAAAATCCAGATACATTGTTTACTGCCCTCAGTCCCAGTAACAGGTCTTCTTTGGCACTTGAGAATGGTCACAAGTATTTTGCCTTTTTTATTCATAGAGAACAAAATTTACAAAGTCATTCATACATTTTGTCTTTTCTTTTTTTGTATTTTTTTGTTTGTTTGTTTTTTACTGACTTTGAAAATTGGGAATATTCAAAATACACTTTTTACCCCACTTCATTCTTTCATTATTTACAGGTATGTACAAGAAAAATGTAAGAGTTTTTTTTAATTGTATTAAAAATCTTTGCTGGTTGATTTCATTATATGGATGTTCCATGGGATGGCTCCATGACTTCTGGAATGACCCCACCTGGCACAGACTGAAATGACATTGGGATGGGGGTTTTCACCGGGCTCTGACGAAATAGTCCTCCATTTGGTGATCTGTGTTTACACTGTATAGAGGGCATGGTGGCTGAACTGCTAAGAGGCAGTGGCAGGTTGCTACCAGAGGCACCTGTGAGTGTCCTACTGGCCCCGTGAGTTGTCTGTTCTGGTAAAAATGAGGTGACAGAAAGTTGTGTGTTCTGATATTCACGGACGGGTTCTAGGGTCTGACTGGGCGGCATGCCACCAATCTCCAAGGCTGAGATTTCAATGGAGGCTGGAGAGAGTTGCTTGTGAGCTAAGTCTTCATCCATTAAACTGTTCATACGCCTGTGGACCTGCTCCAGGTTCACTTCTTTATCCTGTATAAGAGGAAGAAAAATGTGATTAATCGTAAAAGCATGGCAAGGTTTACCATCATGCAAACAAAAGACGATGATGAATTGGTCTAAGTAGAATTTAATTTGCCTTTCTACTCATAGTGAAGACAAAAAATATATATCTTTGTGGCCTCAAGACCACTTTTACAAAGTCTACTTTGTAGGCAAAGTGTGGCATTTGGGGTTACATTGTCCCCATGATGGTGATTTTTGCCGCACTTGGCCTCTGAAGACTCCTTAGATCAGTGTTTCTCAACCTTCCTAATGCCGCGACCCCTTAATGCTGTTCCTCATGTTGTGGTGACCCCCAACCATAAAATTATTTTCATTGCTACTTCATAACTGTAATTTTGCTACTGTTATGAATTGTAATGTAAATATCTGATATGCAGGATGCATTTTCATTCACTGGGCCAAATTTGGCACAAATACTTTATACGTGCAAATTTGAATATGGGGGGGGGGGGTTGGGGGGGATTTTGTCATTTGGGAGTGGTAGTTACTAGGATTTATAGTTCACCTACAATCAAAGAGCATTCTGAACCTCACCAATGATAGAATTGGGCCAAACTTCCCATAGATAACCCATGACCAACAGAAAATACTGTGTTTTCTGATGGCCTTTGGTGACCCCTCTGACACCCCCTCGCGACCCCTCCAGGGGTCCCGACCCCCAGGTTGAGAAACACTGCCTTAGATCATCCTTTTGGAGGCCAAGGTGAGTTAATTTGTTATTCTGGAACTTGTTCAATATCTCTGTTCCCATTTTTAAAATAATTAAAAAGAGCTTTCAGTGACTTTCATCCTGCCCCCCACTCTTTTCATTGGCAATCTTAGTTATTTTTGCAACCCCCGAAAGGTCCCACTGGCAGAAACCTTCCACACCCACCCACCATTGAACTAAACAAATCCTCCATAAACTGACATGTACTAAGTTTAAAATAGCTCACAGACAGTGTAGAAGGTCACCAGGAGCTTAATAAACATCTCCCCTTTTTTTGCTTCCTACTGTAACTATACTCCCGGGTCATTTCCAAAGTCTAGTAGCAGATGGCTAGTGGGCTCAACTGAACTCAGTGTGCCACAGTTTGTACAAGCTTGGGTCCCAAAGGTTAACATTTGGCAGGATTTGGTTGAATCCCAATTTATGTCCATGCAACATGCCTAGCGGAAACAAATGCCCCTTCTACTCCCAGGGCAGTAATTGGGAAGTTATCTGAATGGGATAGGCTTTGGGGCGAAGGGGAAGGACAATGAGCAAAGGACATTTCCCCACCTAACTGGAGTGATATTGGGTTGTTGTAGGTTTTTCCAGGCTATATGGCCATGTTCTAGAGGCATTTTCTCCTGACGTCTCCTGACGTGGAGTGATATTGCTTTTTGTGCCTAGATTATTCCATACAACAGGATCTCTAGTCTTCTGTGTAACATTTTCAAATCAAATGTTGGAAGGGCTACCATAAGACTACCATAGGCCAGAGAGGATAGGGAAGGCTGGTTCCATCAACGCGGTTACATACTCATAAATCTGGATCCAACCAATGAATTCTCTGTTTTTTCCCCCTCTAATTGCAGATTTCTATAAACTTCCAGGGACAAATCAAAGTAGTTATATGAATGTAGGTATGGAAATTATTGACTTTTCATACATTTACAAATTAAAACATCTCCCTTATGTCTTGCTATAGACTCTTAAATGTTTCTTGATTATACTGTTGAACATAATTGCAGGCACATTTTATTTTATGTACTCAGACTGTGAAGACACAGTTTGCAGAGAATTCTCAATTCATGTCCATGATATAACCCAAATGCATGATGCTCTCTCACACACATGATAGCGTGCTTCCCCTTTCCCATTTCCATTTGTTAGTGTGAAGTATTATATATGACGCGATCCTGTGGGTTGAAATGTAAAGTGAGAAAAATCAGGTTCATCATGATGGGACAGATAGTTTAGTGATCGGTTTGATAGCCAGATGGAAGATCAGTGAGGAAAAACCTAACAGCAATTAAGAGAAAATTAATAATACCAAAAAAGTGACCTGCCATAAAAAAAACTCTTAAGTAGAGTTGAAAAGAACATAATAGAGGATTTCAAGTTAGTTTGTGGGTTGATTACACATATACATTCAGTATCAGAAGAAAAATTGTTAAACCAAAAAAAGAACGTGAAACAACTTATACCAGACATCCATGCCCCATGCTGTTCAATAATGATTCCCATACCACCATGCTGCGCACCTAAGTCATTCATACCAATAGCCAATGGAAGCTGAAGGGTAAAACAAAAGACATTGGCTTCAGATGTTGCTCAGTGAACTAACAAAATGTTCAAAAATCTAGAGCAGAACAAAAATCTTCAGGAATTTAGCAGGGAAATGTATGAGCTATAATTCCGACTTTCAGCTATGTATGGTCTTTTAATGGGAGCCTCCCAACTTCCTCCCTCATGCTTTCCTACTGTGTCAACCCATACTGCTTCATTAATGTCAGCATACAGGAAATTATGTGGGGCAAGATAATGATCTCGTTATTCCTCTTACCAAGTCTATTTGCCCACATTGGGGGCCAGTGATGGCAGGAAAAGCAATGGTGTCATTATTTCAACCCTTTACATCAGGGGTCCTCAAACTTTTTCAACGGGGGGCCAGATTACTGTCCCCAAGACCGTTGGAGGGCCGGACTATAGTTTTTTTTAAAAAAAACAATGACCAAATTCCTATGCACACTGCACATGTCTTATTTTGCTACTGTTATGAATCGTAATGTAAATATCTGATATGCAGGATGTATTTTTATTGTTACAATCTGAACATAAAGCATAGTTTTAGCATTTCTGAAGATAAAATAGTTCCAATTAAAATGAGGAAAACATTCTATTTTCTGTCTTTTTGAAAGTGGTTTTTGGAATATGTAAGCATGAGTCCCCTTTCAGGGGGAGAAGGGCAGGGTATAAATATAGGAAATAAATCTATATAAATAAAAATGTAATGTTCGTTTGTGGGATTAACAGAACTCAAAAACCACTGGACACCTAACAACCCAATGTATGTCCTTCACTCAAAAAAAATGATTTTGTCATTTGGGAGTTGTAGTTGCTGGGATTTATAGTTTACCTATAATCAAAGAACATTCTGAACCCCATCAACGATGGAATTGAACCAAACTTGACCCAGAGTTCTCCCATGACCAACAGAAAATACTGGAAGGGTTTGGTGGGCAGTGTCCTTTGGTTTTAGAGTTGTAGTTCACCTACATCCAGAGATCACTGTGGACTCAAACAATGATGGATCTGGACCAAACTTGGCACTGATACTCAATATGCCCAAATGTGAACACTGGTGGCGTTTGGGGGTTGTGTTTGCTGGGATTTATAGTTCACCTGCAATCAAAGAGCATTCTAAGCTCCACCAGTGATGGAATTGAAACAGTCTTGGTACACAAAACTCCCATGAACAACAGAAAATACTGGAAGGCGAGGAAGGTGTCTCTCCAGAAGGGTCCCACGGCATCCTAGCTGCTGCCCTCCCTCCTTCCACCCGCAGCAAGTGAGGGAGTGAGTGTGCGTGGGACCTCTGGGAGGGGAGGGGGAAAACTGTGGAGCAGGATGGCCCCTCCCGCACGCTCTCAACTGCGCCCCCCCCCCCCGAGCAGCAGCAGCAGCAGCCGAAGGCGAGGGAGGCGGGGAGCCAGGCGCACGCAGCGTGAGAGGGAGGCAGTAGGAAGGGAGGGGGAGGAGGAGGCACGCACGGCGGCACAGACGGGACCCAGGCTGCGGAAGCCAGATGTTTCCTCCCCTCCCCTTCTTCTCTCTCTTTCTCTCTCTCTCTCTTACCCTCTTTCTCTTCCTTCCCTGGCCCGTTTCCCTCCTGACTGACAGCCAGGACAATGCAATGCAGAGCAATGGCATTCGCTCTGCTTTACTCTCTGTTCTCTGCGGGGAGGAAACATCTGGCTTCTGCAGCCTGGGTCCCGTCTGTGCCGCCGCCGCTGTGCATGCCTCCTCCTCCTCCTCCCTTCCTACCCTCTCCCTCTAACGCTGTGTGTGCATGGCTCCCCGCCTCCCTCACCTTCGGCTCTTCTGCGGGAGAGCAGAGAATGCTTCTCCCTCCACAGGCTTCTCCGGAGGGAGAAGCCTGTGGAGGGAGAAGCGCAGCAGAGCGGATGCCATTGCTCTGCAACAGAAGATCGCTGATGGCAAGGAAGGTGTCCGTGAATGGTGGAGGCGCCGCCAGGTGGGCGTGGCCAAGCGATGCTTGCTTCCCATCCGGTGCTGCCTCCAACATTCGCAGACATCTTCCTCGCCATCAGGGATCTTCTGTTGCAGAGCAATGGTGTCTGCTCTGCCGCTCTGGAGGGAGGGAGAGAGAAACACCGCTGACGCAAGCGGCGAGGGGCTTTGTGCGTGGCCAAGACAGGCCGCGCGGGCCAGAAAAAGGCCCTTGGCGGGCCGCATGTGGCCCGCGGGCTGTAGTTTGGGGACCCCTGCTTTACATAGTCATTACTGCAGTGATATGGGATAGAATCATGAGATTATGACAACCACACCACTGCTTTGATATAGTACAGATTTAAAACATTTTTTACTAAGTTAGAGAAACTCCTCACCAGATCTGGTATGTGAAACCAGTTTCCTATTTCCCCCCAAAAACGATTCTCCCCTTGACAATATCAGAGATGTTTGTTTAGCTGTCAATCTATTATCTTAATTGCCAACATACACTACTCTAAGTTTGGTATTTCAAGAGTGCTGCGTTTGTCTTTTTTTAAAATAGCAATTTGTATTGAAGTTAGAAACTTCCCTTACTATTTCAAGACAGCATGTGAAAATATTTTATCAATGCTGATGATCGTGCCATCACTGCTCAAGCAGGGAGCTTTGAGATGGTAGAACAGAAGCTCCCCAAAGCTCTAGGTGCTCTTACTGTCTATTACAGGGAAAACCAGCTGATCCCCAACCCATCTAAAACACAGACATG